ATATATATTTTTTTTTTTTATTTTTTATTTTTTTATTTTTTTTTTGTTTGTTGCAGGCGTTTGTCTTTTTCTTTATCGTATATGCCTTCCAGCAGCAAATCAGTGTATGTATCTTTCTCTCCTTTTTCTTTTTTTTCTTTGTCTCCTTTTTCTTTTTTTTCTGTCTCTCCTCTTTCTTTCTCTTCTTTTTCTTTTCTTTATACAGACAAAGCAGCAGATGGAGGCAACTGGGTCCTTGCTGCTGAGATGCCGCAGCAGCAGCAGCAGCAGCAGCAGCAGCAGCAGCAGCAAACACCTGCTGCTGCTGCTGCTGCTGCCAGCAGCAGCAGCAGCAGCAGCAGCAGCAAATGGCCGTCTTTCTCCTTACGGAGAGAGAGCCTCATTTAGCTGTACATACACCCAAACCCTAAACCCTAAACCCTAAACCCTAAACCCTAAACCCTAAACCCTCTGTTTGCCTTTTACTGCAACTGCTACAATAAACATGCTACTTATGTACTCTTGCTGCTGTTGCTGCTGCTGTTGCTGTTGCTGCCGCTGCTGCTGCTGCTGTCGCTGTTGCTGTTGCTGCTGTTGCTGCTGCTGCTGCTGTTGCTGCTGCTGCACTAGCTACGGAGATAGAATGCTGCTGCATGCAGCGCAGCTCCGCCCCTGGCTGTGTTGCTGCTTCTCTGCAAACCCTAAACCCTAAACCCTAGCACTAAACCCTAACCCTAAACCCTACAAACCCTAAACCGCGGAGCTGGCAATAGACGGGCACGAACCCTTTAAACCCTAAACCCTTATCTAAACCCTAAACCCTTATCTAAACCCTAAACCCTAAACCCTCATCTAAACCCTAAACCCTAATCGAGACCCTAAACCCTTGTCTAAACCCTGCGCGTTCCAGGCCAACTCTAAACCCTAAACCCTCGTAGTAGGGCGTCTCTCTACCCCTCTAAACCCTAAACCCTAAACCCTCGCTGCCTCTATATATTATACAATCAACACAAAAGGAGAAGAACCCCTAAAAAAGAAGCAGCGTCTTTCTTCAATAACTTTGCTGCTGCAGCAACCCTGCAGCAGCAGCAACAGCAGCTGCTGCTGCTGCTGCAGCAGCACCAGCAGCAGCGGTGTATCTAGGGGTCATCAGCCGCTCCTCTTTCTGCCGCATCTGCATCTGCTGCATCTGCTGCCTCATCACCATCACCACCATCACCAGCAGCAGCAGCAGCAGCAGCAGCAGGAGCAGCAGCAGCAGCAGGAGTATAAAACTATCTGAGTCTCCTTGCTTCTCTTTCTGTTTCTAGGAGAGCTAGAATATCTCCTTCTCTGACGGGTCCCTTAACATTACGAATAAGTGAGCGGCCTTGTAAATCTGAATCCTCCGCCATAAATGTTACTCTAACCTGCTGCACGCCGCCTCTGCTGCCCGTTCTACCTAAAACCTTCTCTACTTTTGCTAGTTTTGGTTGCTCCATCTTCTTTATCTCGAAAATTCCTTCAGAATGATGGGTCTT